CCCCGCCTCCCTAACCTGTCCTTCCTCCCACCTATCCCCTCCTCCCATCTCAAGCCCCACCCCCATCTCCTACCTACTAACCTCATCCCGCCCCCTTGACCTGTCCGTCCTCCCTGGACTGACCTATCCCCTCCCTAACTCCCCACCTACACTCACCTTTACTGGCTCTATCCCCGCCTCTTTGACCTGTTTGTTTCCTCTCCTCTATCCATCTTCTATCCGCCTCCCACTCTCTCCTTATTTATTTCAGAACCCCCTTCCCCTCCCCTCCCCTTTTTCTGATGAAGGGTCTCGGCCCGAAACGTCAGCCTTTCTGCTCCTATGATGCTGCTTGGCCTGCAGTGTTCATCCAGCCCTGCACCTTGTTGTCTCGGATTCTCCAGCATCTGCAGTTCCTACTATCTCTGATTAAAACTCAACTGGTTCACTAATACCCTTTTAGGGAAGGAAATCTGCTATTCATACCTGGTTAACTGAATCCAGACCCATTGCAATGTGGTAGACTCTCAACTCTCCTCTGTAAAGATCTAATAAGCCACTCACTTGCATCAAAAACTGCTGTGACAAACTCTAGAAGTTCAAAAAGATTGCTCATCACCACCTTCAAGGGCAATTAGGGACGGGTAAGAAATGCTGGCCTTGTCACTGACATTTACATCCTCTGACTGAATCGATTCAAAATATTTTTAAAAAGGTAGAACATTGATATTAAAAGTATTTGCTTTTTAGATTAAGCATGAGGTTACAAAGCATCTACCAATCAACATGCATGTACAAGAAACTTTACAAGTCATGATGGTATATTAATGAAAATTGCTTAGTGCTTTTAGCCAAAAGCCTGGCTTAATTTAACAGTGCTCTGCTGAGGTGCATTATAATGCTCACCAATTTGTGGCACCATTTCAGGTCAGGTGAACTTTTCTGCTGTTCACTCTCAAGTTAAAGTTAAGGAAATCAAATCCTAAAGGCAGTGGAAATATCTGAAGGCCTGGTCTAATTCTCAAAGGAAAGGAGCAATTGGAGAACATCACCATCCTCCTCCAGAAAAATGTATCAAAAGAAGCTAATACATTTCAGCCAAACTATAATATTGTCAATATTGTAATGGTTCACAGTTCTGTTTTCAATAAAAGATTTCTCCAATAAACATCGTACTAAGACAGGGTTCATGAGTTAGCAGTACATATTGTCTATGTAAGATAATAAAATTTAAATGATACAGAACTTGAATAAAAAAGCAAGCATGGAATTCACAGTTGGTGAAGTAATCAAGTGCAACATTAATAGTACCAGGGAAAAGTAGAAAACAATTTTTTTATTTATAATTGAATCCAATATTTAAATTCAAAAATTGCTACAGTACAATATTTAAGTAGGCCATCCATAATTTATTAAAGGAACATTTACCTCAAATCCCAAAGTTAGCAAGATACCCCTGGCCCAAGTTAAGGGGAGGAAAATCATTAACTCACTAGAGCCATAACATTTGCTTATGCGGTGCTTCCTTCTAATGCTATTTTTCAAGTTGCAGAACTGAATTTCTTACATACAGCAGTTACATCCCAGTTCCAAGTAGGTACATTCACCTTAAGTTCCCCATTGAGGTTGCATAATTTCTAATTTCCAGGTCAGGTTCAATTCCCCTTCCTTTTTTCAGAAAGGTAATAATTGGTCAAGTGGAAAGTGCTCACAATAATCAGTCTTCATGATTTATCTAATTGTGTTTCAAGACTGGGATACTAGCAATAATTCAGTTTAATTTTAGTTTTGTCAAAAATTCCATTAACTGTTTCTTTTTGGGTTTTGAGGAAGCGTCACCGGACCCGAAACATTAACTCTTTTTTCCTTCACAGATGCTGCCAGACCTGCTGGGCTTTTCCAGCAACTTTTTTTATTCCTGAATAAAATTTTATTTACTTATTCTATTAGATTGTACGACTATTTCTGCATTGAGTTATCCTACTTTATGCTATCTCAAAATCTTAATGTGAAAGGACATTTGTCAGTTGAATAATGGGCAAAAAGTGAATCTTAAGAAATAGTCAGAACTTTTAAAACTCCAAACTATGATAAACTTTGATTTAGTTATAAATACTGCCTTTTAATTTTTTTTAGTCTAATCAATATATTTCTCAACCTCATGGCAAACAGAAAATCTATTTGTCTATTTCTGATACCCTAAATAGAGCTGAATAAATACTTTATAAATTAACTCAGTCCCTTTTCCCAGGTAAGATGCTTCATGTGGTTTGGGGTTTAACATCCAACAGGGCCATCCATCTCCCACGGGGTGATCACCTCAGTTTGTTTGCAAAGTTTTATTTTTTATTGTTGCAATGTTTTTCTCAATGAGAGTTGTTTAATCTATTTTCTAATTCTTGTTTTAGAATTATTTTGTTTCTTTGAATAACAGTATTTTTAAAAAAAAAAAACACTTAGGAAATGCAAGGAAGAACACCAGTAAAGGCAGAAAATACAAACAAATTGAAGACAGGTAGTAAAACTCTAGTGATCAAATCAGTGAAAACAGAAAATGCAATCTCATGAACTCTCAATAAAATATATGTTGCAATTATATCTGAGCTCTGTGGAAAAGTCATTGGACCAAAACTCATGAAGAAAATAGAAAAATTATAGAATGTCAGGGAGGCTGTTGTGAACTTTCCAGCAAAGATATTAGTCAAAAGATGACTCATTTCATGAAGAGGAAAAGGGAAACTGCAGCACCAAAATAATTAACAAAGAATCTAGAGTGAATTGTAGCACTGAAACTTATACAACAGGCTATAAGCCCTAACAGTGCACAGAATTGGAGCACAAGTAGCTAAAGAGGAGACTGAAGTGATGATTTACCATGTTAACAAATCAAAACAGCTTTGGACATTGGCAGTAATACCTGTTTCCAGGGAAACAGAAAGGACTGCAATAATGTGTTGTATTAACCTGATTAGTGTGCTTGAGAACCTGTTTACCAGTTACTGTGACATCTGTACCATTAAACATGAGTGAGAATATTCATATCTAATACAGCATCATATTTCTGTAGTTCTGAAATCACCTTCAACACATTTCCTACCCCAACAAATAAAGCATCATTTCCCATTCTTTAATAAATTATCTGCAGATATGTTATGCTGTTTTACCCGACAAGCCAGACAGGCCTCGCCTCTGTCCCAGCCGCAATCTGTTCCACAGTTCCCCACAAAGGGTGGGTTGCCACTCAGCATGATGTACAGTATTACTCCAAGACTCCACAAATCGCAACGCTTATCATAAAATGACGCGTCCTCGGTGAATGTCTCCACTACTTCAGGAGCCATGTATTCCACAGAACCACACTGAGAATATTAACACAGTTATTCAAGATTAAAACCCAAAATAGTTGAGCATTAATTTCTAATCCAGCTCTCAAAATGAGATTAAGTTCAAGCATCCCATTAATCTAGACTGAGCTGTATTTTGGAGATGGATAGAAATTCTACCTGGATCATAAATAATTTTTCTTCAATTATTAAGATTGTGTTGATTAAATGTTATGCACTTTAATATTTTACAAAATATCTGGCAAATTAAAATTATGTCACTAAAAACATACTGCTGGAAAATCTAAACATACCATATTCAATTTGTCAAGAATGCAATTCCTACCTAGAGATGACAAGTGTAATTTAATCATGCATCAATGACTACCACAGAACATTGATAGTTTTTACTCCCTGACAGCATCCTATGTTTAGCAGACCTGCCAGCAAGCAATTTTACACTATTTCACTGGAAACCCTTCTTAGTAAACTAATTAAGAAATGATAATGCCCCAAATTTTTAGGTGAGAGGCAAAAAACAGCATTAATTGTTCATTACTCTTCCACAAGGAACAATGTGACTCCTTAAAAATATCAACGAAAGCTTACTGTGAAATAAGTGTGTAAGCCAGGAAGTATAAGTTTGAATTAGCTAATTTAATGTCAAATTATGTACAGAAGGTAAAATGAGGAAAAACAAAAAAGGTATTGAGATAGATGAGCCAGAATGGAAAGTTTAGTCTCCAACAATAATTAAGATCTAAAAGAATTAGAAAAGTCACTGTAAAGATTAATTTTCAATACTAGAGGCGCTGCTTGGCAATAATTGAGACTCAGCACATCATCAACACTTGAACAGACAAGTCCTAGGTTTTTCTGGTATACATGGTAGGAAACTACCTAGCTTAACATTAACAAATGGAATAGCATTGAGTCTCTTGGAGCCACATCATTATAAAAATATCTGGAACAACAGCATTATTCATATAGTAACTTCCTGATTTCTGCATTTGACTCTATGCTTGCCAAATGTCGCTGTCTTGTTTGTTCTTTGATACAAAATAGGAATACAGAACATGAGTATTGCTGAAAAGACATGCTGTTAAACCTTTTCATCTTGCACCCATCAGAACAGAATCACAAACAAACCAAACCTCAAAGGGATCAACAAGTTGTAATGCATGAGAAAAATGAGCATATTGGTTGGCAAGTGGACTCACAGTGTGGTTTACCACACAAGCTAGAAGCAACCTATATTTACAAGCAGGGCCGAATCCTTTGTTAAACAGAATATCTACATATTGTTTCAGAGATAGTAGGAACTGCAGATGTTGGAGAATCTGAGATAACACGGTGTAGAGCTGGATGAACACCGCAGGCCAACATTTCGGGCCTAGACCCTTCTTCAGAAATGATTTCAGAAACGTCAGCCTTCCTGCTCCTCTGATGCTGCTTGGCCTGCTGTGTTCATCCAGCTCTACACCTTGTTATCTACATATTGTCTGTTTTAACTGCATACAAACCTAGGGAAGCAGCCCTTCCCTAAAGCATATCCCATTTCAGTACTCCAGACAGAGTCAACTTGCCTGGTTTGAATTTAAAAACATTGCAGTTTACAGTGCCCTGCCATGCTCTCCATGCCAATGCATCTACCAATCATAGTCTACTTGCAACTAATCAACACCTTTGTCACATAACATAAATTTCTATTCCCTTTAAGATTTGATATTCTTGTAATTCTGTCCTTCAAAACAAAACTTCAAAACAAAAAGCTTTACTAGCAGGTTGCTTTTTTCAGCGGCACAGTGGCTCAGTGATTAGCACTGCTGCCTCACAGCATCAGGGACCCAGGTTTGATTCCAGCCTTGGGCGACTGTCTGTGTGGAGTTTGTACATTCTCCTCATGTCTGCTTGGGTTTTCTCCGGGTGCTCCGGTTTCCTCCCACAGTCCAAAGGTATGCAGAGGTTAGGTGGATTGACTATGCTAAATTGCCCACAGTGTCACTAATGGGAAATGCAGAAATAGGGTAGGGGGTGAGCCTGGGTGGGATGCTGTTTGGAGGGTCGGTGTGGACTCCCTGGGGCAAATGGCCTGCTTCCACACTGTAGAGATTCTGTGATTCTATGATTTGATCATTGTGAGCACCAACAGCCTCACTATTAGTACTACCACAACATCTGGGTCAACGTCTCATTTCTGACAGCCTACACAGCGATATTCTACACTTAAGAACAACTCTTGCTACTGACAACCCATCTAAAATGAAATACATATTTTACAGTTCTCCACTTTCAAAGTTGAGACTAACATCAAAAGCTTTTACCAGAAAATATTTCCAATAAGGAGTACTTACATAGCATGGAGAAAGTTCTCAAATTGGGATTTGAAACAAATCAAAATTACCTTTGAAAACTCTCAAGAAATGTACTACACAATGATAGAAACAATTGCAGTAGTTGAGTTTGGGAAATGCACTATAGTTTAAAAGAAACCATAATCACATTTACATACCGGTGTCATCAGCTCAGGAGTTGAAATTGGAGTACATGCGCTGCTCAACTTCACCCCACTGCCAAGATCAAAGTCGCAAATCTTCACTGGGGATATCTAGGGAAAGGAATGAGAAGGGAGAGGGAGCGTGAACAGCAGAGAGCAGAGCAGGTGGGAGGGAGGGGTGGGCAGGCAGGCAGACAGACAGGAAAAGAGCAAGTGAGAGGGAGGGAGAGAGGGGTAGTTCAGCAGAAAAAGAGACAGGCAGAGAGAGGGGTGAGGGAGGGGCAGCAGAGAGACAGACATGTATTTACAATCAAATTGGCAATTTCCAGCATGCATTGAGAAGCAACGTGAACGAGTAACAAGGATGTAGATTTCTGCTCAGCAGAAAGGCAGTCTGCTAGAATGGGGCCCAAGTATTTCAAATTGCTCTTCTACAGCCTTTGTCTCAAAGAAACTGCTCCCTAATTTGCATAATTTCAAACATCTCTTAAAACAGAATGAGCCCTCAACTTTATAGATGCAGACATTTACAGCAGAGGAGGATGACATGCAGCCTATCTTGACTGAGCTGGTCAACAAATATCTAACTACAACAATCCCATTCCCACCTCTTGACCCATAGTTCTGAAGGCTAAGGCAATGCAAATGAACATCTTAAATGAAATTTTGACTCAACCAGCCTTTCGGGCAGTGTGTTCCAGATTCCAGACACCCTCTGGGTGAAAAAAACTTCTCAATTCTTCTCCTAACCTTCTACCTCTTACCTTCAAAGCTATGCTTCTGGTTGCTGATTCTGTATTAATGGAAAAAATACCTTCCTATCCACCTTAATTGTACTCCTCATAATCATGACCTCTCAACCTTCACCTCTCCAAAGGAAATAACTCCACCTACCCAGGTTGGTCATCCTCCAACCTGGTCTACTGTATCCGCTGCTCCCAATGTAGCCTCCTCTACATTGGTGAGACCAAGCACAGACTTGGAGACCATTTCGTGGAGCATCTGTGCTCTGTACGCAACAAACACCACCACCTTCTGGTCGCCAACCGTTTTAACTCCCGTTCCCACTCCCTTGATGACACAATGACACCACATGAGGTGTTGCTCCTCCAGTTTGCATGTTCCATCTCGGGACCCTACAGTCCGATGGCCTAAACATAGAATTCTCCAGTTTTAAAATCTCCCCACCCCTGGCCTCATCCCACATCAAAACCTCCCTCTCATCCCCACCTCCTTAACCTGACACAACCTGTCCATCATCTTCCCCACCCTTCCCACAGACCAATATCTACTGCCACCTACCTGCATCCAACCTATCATCACCCCACCTACCTTTCCCCAGCCCCACCCACCACCCTCCCTACTCCTTGACCCGACACAACCTGTCCATCTTCTCTCCCACCCAGCCGCCCCACCCCATCCAACTAACCAATCCCCACCACTCCCAACTTGCATCCACCTATCACCATCCCACCTACCTTTCCCTAGCCCCACTCCTCTCTATCTATTTATTTCCCAGCTCCTTTCCCCCTCCCCATTTCTGAAGAAGGGTCCTGACCCAAAACGTCACTTTCCTACTCCTCTGATGCTGCCTGGCCTGCTGTGTTCCTCCAGCTCCACACTGTCTTGTCTCTGACTCCAGCATCTGCAGTTCTTGCTATCACCTACCCAGGCTTGCCTTATACCTCAGATCATCCAGTCCAGACACCATCCTGTTACTGTATTCTATGCCTTGTTTTATAAAGGCAAATATCCAATATGCTTTAACTACCTTTTCTACCTTTGCAACCTTCAGGGATCTGTGGATATGCACACCAAGGTTTGATCTGCAGTTCTGTCCAGGGGCCTACCATTTGTAACATAATCCCTTGCCTTGTGAGCCCTTCTCAAGTGGATTACCACATACATTCCCAGGTTATATTCAGTTGCCACTGCCCTGCCGACCTGACTAGTCTGTTGATGTCATCCTGCACTTTATGGCTATCCTCTCATTTTATGAGGTTTACATAATTATGCATAGTCTGCAAGGGACCAGATGTATATGCCTTGAGGGGCACCACTTCACATCATGCAATGGGGCAAAGCAATGAGTTAGGCCTTGCTAAGCTACAGCCATTACAGGGATTGAACCTGCACCAATGGCATCACTCTGCACCACACAGTAGTCATCCGCCAACTGAGCTAACAAATCCCCATAAAAACCAAAAGAACTGTGGATGCTGTTCTGAGGGTCACTCGACCAAAAACGTTAACTCTGGTTTCTCTCAACAGATGCTGCCAGACCTGCTGAGCTTTTCCAGCAATTCTATTTTTGTAACAAATCCCCATGCTGTATGAAACAAAAGTACAAAAGTACAAATCTTGCCAACAATGGCAAATGACTGATAAAAACTGCAAGAGGAAGTGCATTCATCCAGTTGTGAATAAATTGCTAAAGATACTGACTGCATGTTTAACTGAAACGCAGCAGCACCATTTTAAGAAGGATTAATTATATGCTTAATTCACCAGAATAAATGGACTTATTTCAGTAACTGCTTAGTTAGTAATTGATTTTCTCCCATTTTTAGCTAAGTGCAAGCTCCAGTCTCCAACCAGTTATCACAGTTCACTGTGTTAAGACAAAAAGATAAGGATTTAAAAAAAACAACACTTTCTCCTGCACAGTAGACAAAATAATTATGGTTAAGGTGAAAAACCTCCAGTGATTAATTCAGTCTACTTCATTTTCACTGTTCCAAAATAATTAAACATTTGGTACTCTAATACAGGGCCGAATTGAAATTTTACAAAAGGACTGGCCCTTTAAGACTACGGAAGTGGGGCAAGGTCTCAAAGTTAAAGCTATTCATGCACCAGCAGATACTCACTAAAAATAGAAAAGCAGTGTCTAACATTGTGTTTAAAAAAAAACCACTAAAAGTTGACTTCAAATATACAAAAAATATCACAGGCACAATATACAAATCAAATGACTGAGCAGAATATGTACCTGCATGTTCCTACACAAACAGTAATCAAATCTGGCTTTGAAGCAAAATACTGAAATGCATAATAACTGGCAATTCATTGGGCTTATCAACTAGACACCGGAGTTCTACGTCTCATGTAGTTTGATTAATAAATGACGAAAATATGGAATTAGCAATTATTCAGTATACATAATTCCAAACTATAACATCATTAGATTTCAGCCAAATGATAACATGTATGAGTGTGCTGGACTACACACAAGATATCTTAAAATCATAACACCGTTCTATACGGGCATCCACTCTGGCTGCATCTAACGTCTGCTTGAAGAACTAGGTATAATTGGCAAGAAACGCCAGCCAACATGCTGGCATTTTGTTTATTCTAATGCTCCTGGAGCAGTTCGCACATAGTTAAAATTCATTGGTGTTTAATTTCAAAGTAAGTCTAAAATTGAATTGCCAAACTGGCACCCCATCCATCATGAGTAGGCACAGTAGTGGTTCATAATCAATCTGCATTCCTTTTCTTTGAATCTGCCTCCATCACTTCATATTTCCCATCTTGCTGTTGCTTATCTGAGAATTTTCCTTGTGTCTATTCTCATGCATAGAAACCGTACAGTTTCTGAAAAAAAGGAGTTTGAAATTTTGAAAAAAGGGCACAAAAACCTACTACATGAATAATTATGTTTTCTTAACCAAAAGAGCTAACCATCTCAACCGCTCATTTCAGTCATTAAAATGTGAAGTGAGCAGCACCCCATTAGAGAAGGAAAGCACCTCTCAGTGACACAAGCAAGCAGATTAGCCTTTAACAAATGCACTCAATATGATATCAAGTTATACAGGGTAAACAGAGAGATTGTACCTGTTCTGCGAATTCACAAAGGATGTTCTCTGGCTTCAGATCTCTATGTGCTATACCTTCACAGGGAAAACAAGAAGTTGATTACATAAGCAGAGAAACCATAAATATTGCAGAATACATTTCCCTCAGCTGTTTGCAGTGAAAGTTTGACACACAATCTGCATTGTTGCTGCTAAACTAGTCAATAACTAATTTATTGCCATTGACAAATTATAAGATCCTCCAAGAACAAATGTATATTTTAATCACAGAATATTGGAATCATTCAGCAGGGAAAGAAGGATCTGTGAAGAGAGAGAGAGATGGAAGTTAATGTCTCAGATTAACAACCTTTCCTCAGAACTGGGTTTCTGCTGCCTCATCCGAATATTTCCAGCATTGTTTTTATTTCAGATTTCAAGCATCTGCACTATTGCTTTTATGTTTCTCATTTTGAATGAATTCAAATTTGAATTCAACAATTTTGAACACAATAAACCACCTGGCATTGTCAGTGCTAAGATATGATCAATGTAGCAGCAAAGTAGGAAGCATCAGTGATATTAAATAGGATAAAAACATACTCAAAATATTGATTTTATGTATCATATATATTGAGATCCAGTGAAGAGTGTTGTTTTGTGAGCTATCCAGGAAGATCATCCCATACAAAGTGGATCAGGATAGCAGAACGGAGTGCAGAATACAGTGTTATAGCCGCAGCGAAGGTGCAGACAGAGATCAGAGGTAACATTTGAGGGGTCCATTCAAAAGTCTGACAATAGCAGGAATAAGTTGCTCTTGAATCTGTTCGTACATTTATTCAAACTTTTATCTTCTGCCTGATGTAAGAGGGTATAAGCGGAGTCGGAATGTTGGTTGCTTTCCCGAGGCAGTGGCAAGTATAGATGCAGTCAATGGATGGAAGGCTGGTTGATGGACTGGGCTGTGTTCACGACCCTCTGTACTTTATTGTGGTCTTGGGAAAAGCAGTTGCTATACCAAGCTTGATGCATCCAGATAGGATGCTTTCTATGGTGCATCTATAAATATTGGTAAGAGTACTTGTGGAAGTGACGAATTTTCTTAGCCTCCTGAGGAAGTAGAGATGTTGCTGCGCTTTCTTGACCATGGCATCAATATGGGTGGACCAGGACAGATTGATGGTGATCACTCCCAGGAACTTGAAGCTCTTGACTATCTCCACCTCAGCACCATTGATGCAGACAGGGGTGTGCCCTCCACTCCACTTCCTGAAGTAAATGACCAGCCCCTTTGTTTTGCTGATGTTAATGAAGAGATTGCTGCCTTTACTCCATGTTGCTAAGCACTCAATTTCTTTCCTGTATTCTGTGTTGTCATTGTTTGAGATCCAACCTACAACGGTGGTGTCGTCAGCAAACTTGTAAATGGAATTGGGGTAGAATTTGGCCACAAAGTCCCGAGTGTATAAGCAGTATAGTAGGGGTCTGAGTATGCAGCCTGTGGGGTACCAGTCTATGGTAGAAGTGGTGGTGTTGTCTATTTTTACTGGTTGCGGCCAATGGGTCAGGAAGTCCAAGATCCAGTTACAGAGGGAGGAGCTGAGACCTAAGTCTCTGAGTTTAGAGATGAGTTTGTTTGGAATTATGTTATTGAAAGCAGAACTGTAGTCAATAAGTAGGAGCCTGATGTAGGTATCCTTGTTATCCAGGTGTTCTAATACATATTGCTTGATCTGGCATGTATCTTAGGTTTCAGAGGGAAGCAAGGGGGAAATTATGGGAGATCCAGCTACAATGTTTTAGTTTTCTTTGATACTTTGTGGCACTCAAACTAGAAGGATGTAAAGTTATTCTCCATATTTAAAAAAAAAAAGTATAATGCTGCAACTCCAAATCAGTCAGCCCAGAATGGAGAATCTTTTACAGACGATTAGTTGGGACAAAATTATTTAGCATAGTGAGAAAGGTATGAGCAAAAACTGAATGTCAGCATACAGTTGCTAAAAGCAATTTGGATGTAATAAATTTAGCTTTTGTTACAATAACAGAATGGTGAGGGTAAAGTAGTTCATGGAAATTTCAATGTACTAAAATAGTAGCAAAAACAAAGCAATATTTAATGCCTATGGAATTAAAGGGACATTGGTAGCAAGGATACAAAATTGGCCATGGGACAGAAAATAGACAGTAGTGTTGAACAATTGTTTTTCACTTAGAAAAAGTGTGCAGAGTGGTGTTCCCTCTGAAGTCAGAATTTGCAGATTTGTTGAGCACTTTTTTTACATTCTCCATGATAAATGTGGAGAGAGGTTGGTTCATTGCATTACTGATAAAGGAAACCATCACTGTAGTAATGAGGGAGAAATTACAGGCAGCACAGTGGTTACCACTGTTGCCTCATAACGTCAGGGACCTGTGTTCGATTCCAGCCTTGGGTCTGTGTCGAGTTTGCAAGTTCTCCCTGGTTCTGTGTGAATTTCTGCTAGTGCTCTAGTTTCCCCCCAACAGTCCAAAGATGTAAAGGCTACGTAGATTACCCATGGTAAATGCAGGGTTACAGGAATAGGGTGAGGGGGTAGGTGTGGGTTGGATGCTCTTCAGAAGATCGTTGCAAGACTATGAGCCAAACAGCTTCTTTCTGCTCTGTAGGGATTCTATGGCCTAGAAGGCTCTTCTAAATCAGGCCATCTGGGTACAGTTTAGAAATAAAAAAAGGAGCAATTACTCTACAGGCCTCCCCAATAGTCAGAGGTAGAGGATCCAAATCAAAAAAGATGAGAGAGCATAGGGCTATAATTATTATAGATTTAAGGTTACAGATTTTAATTTTGCCAACACTAACTGGAATTGCCTTAGTGTGAAAGATTTAGACAGAGTTTAAGTTTTAAAGTGCATCATAGAGAGCTTTTTGTGCCAGTTTGTAGACAGTTCTACGAGAGATGGGGCAGTGCTAGACCTAATTCTAGGGAACGAAGCCAGTCAAATGGTTGAAGTGTCAGTGGATAAACATTTTGAGAGCAGTGATCATAACTCTTAAGTATTTAAAAGTCATTATGAAAAGGATAATAGTACGAAAATTGTCGAAATTGGGGGAAGGCCGATTTCAATATCATTAGGCAAACATTGACTGGGAGCAGCAACTTGCGGGCACGGTCTACATTTGGAAAATGGGAGCCTTTTAAATCCAGGGCTAGTATGTTCCTCGAAAAGTGAAGGTCAAAGGCAGCAAGTCCAGGGAATGGTGGATATTGAGGAATATCAAGAGTTTAAGAAGGAAAAAGAAGGAAGCCTATGTTAGGTAGTGTATTAAAAACAGGGGAGGTCCTTCAAAAGTATAGAGAGAATAGGGAGTGCTTTAAAAAGAGAGCAAAGTGGGACCATAAACTATCTTCGGCAGATGGGAATAAGGAAAACTCCAAGGCTTTTTATAAGTATATTAACAGTAAGAGAATTACCAGGGAAAGAGTGGGATCTATTAGAGATCAAAGGGACAATCTGTGCGTGGAGCCAGAAGGCACGTGTGGGGTTTTAAAATGAATACTTGTCATCTGCATTCACAGAAGAGAAAGACCGTGTAGCCAGGGATTTCAGTTGGAATGGTGAGGTTCTTGAATATGTTAAGATTAATAAGGAGGACGTATTAGATATTTTAGCAGGCATAATGGTGTATAAATCCCCAGGCCTGATGAGATATATCCCCAAGACCCAATGAGATGTATCTGAGGCTGCTATGGGAGGCAAGGGAGGAGATTGCTGGGTGCCTGGCAGAGATATTTAATACTTTGTTGGCCACACGTAAAGTGCCAGGTGACTAGAGGATGGCTAATGTGGTTCCTTTGTTCAAGAAGGGCAGCAGGGATAGGTCAGGTAATTATAGACCAGTTAGTCTGATATTGGTGGGAGTAAAATCATTGGATGAAATTCCGAGGCCAAGGGTTAATCAACACTTGGAAAAAGGAGGGGTTGATCAGGGATAATCAGCACTATTTATTGGAGGAAGATCCTGTCTGCCTGATTTTAATCAAGTTTTTTGAAAAAGGTGACTAACTATATTGATGAGGGTAGTGCAGTTGATTGTGGTTTACTAGATTTCAGTAAGATTCTTGACAAGTTTCCACGTGGAAGGCTGGTCCAAAATGTAACACCCCATGGCATCCAAGACAAGTTGGCAAACTGGATCCAAAACTGGCATACAAATAGGAGGCAAAGAGGGTTGTTTTTGTGATTGGAAGCCTATGACTAGCAGTAAACCACAGGGATCCGTGCTGGGACACTGTTTTCTGATTTGGATGTGAAAGCAGTAAGTTTAATTAATAAGTTTGCAGATGGCATGAAATTGGTGTTGTCGACAGTGAGGAAGATGGTTTCAGGCTACAGTCTGATACTGATCAACTGGTAAATTGGGGAGAGTAATAGTAGATGTAATTTAATCCTGCTAAGGTGAGAGGTGATGTAGTTTGGGAGGTCTAATAAGGGAAGGATATACACAATGAATTGGTATGCTCCTACTGAAGAATAAAGGGACCTTGGTGTACAAATCCATACATCCCTGAATATGTCAGCACAGGTAAACAGAGTGGTGAAGAAGGCATACAGGATGTTTGCTTTCATTTTCCGGGGTGTAGAATATAGGAACAAGGAAGTCTCATTACAACTTTACAAAACATTGGTTAGGCCACAGTTGGAATAATGTGCGCAGTTCTAGTTGCCATCCTATTGGAAGGACGTTATTGCACTGAACTGGGTGCAGAGGAGATTTCACCAGGATGCTGCCTGGGATGGAAAGTTTCAGTGACGAGGAGAGATTGGATTGGATCGGCTGGGTTTGTTTTCCTTGGAGCAGAGGATGCCGAGGAGGGATCTGATTGGAGGTAATAAAAGGATTGAGAGGCACAGACAGGTAGAACAAGATCCATCGCTGAAGTCTCCGGCATAAGTTTAAGGTGAGGAGTAAATGGTTGAGAGGAGGTCTGAGGAAAAATCTTCTCACCCAGAGGGTGGTAGAAATATGGAAGGTGCTGCCTGAGAGGGTGGTGGAGGCAGGTACTCTCACAAAATTTAAGAGGGGTCTGGATCAGTACTTAAAATAGTACACTATGGACCAACTGTAGGCAAATGGGGTTAGCGCAGTTTGGTATTTGTTGGGCAGCATAGACATAGTGAGCAAAATGGCCTGTTTCCATGTTATGATTTTATGACTCTGAGAGGGTTAAAGAGGTGCCAATGCCCTTAGGGAGGACATATCTGATGTACTGAAGGGACCCCAGCGCCCCGCAAAGGACATTTACCACTCCATGCCCGACATCAGCTCGTACAGTGAAAACTGCCAGGCTAAATGCCTTGCATAGGTGGGGGTAGGAGAAACAAAATGGAGAACAGTTCACGGTCTGAAATTGTCAAAGTCAATGTTGAGTCTAAAAGCTTGCACTGACCTTCAGTAGAACATTGCAGCAGACATACAACAGAAACGACAGCATGAGAGCAAGAAGGTGCATTAAACTAGCAATCGACCAGAAGGTCAAACTCATGCTTGCAGACTGGTCAGGATAGTAGGATAGCCCAATGCAAGCTGGAGGAACAGCACCTCATTGTCCATTTATACACTTTACTGCCTTTTGGATTCAATAGAGTTCAACAATTTAAACTCTGTCCTCCATTTTGTCCACCCTGCAATGTAATTTCTCATGTTCCTGGTTTTGCTTTCGGCCGAGCTGAGCAGTAAATCTCTCTGGACCTGTCGCCCTTCTCTACAATCATTATTATCCCCTTTACCTTTTATTGTGTGTCACGTAGCCTCTAATCTCACTCACCCTGTGACCTTTCTTTGACCTTCCTTCTTTTGCTCCTTATCTTTTCAACAGGTAAAAAAACCAGCATTTTACGACCTCTCTCTAGTTATGAAGAATCATCATGTTGGACTGAAAAGTGTTAACTCTGCTCCTCTCTCCACAGATGCTCCAAAATCTTATGTATTACACAGAACAAGTATGTTTAAGAAAACAAACAAAAGCCATCGATCACGAGATTTTTTGCCATAAACCAAAACGCATTTTTGATTTTACGAATGTTAAAAAGCAAGAGCTCTTGGGAATAGGTCAATTAAACCAAAAGGTTCATCACTGTTTGACAAAACAATGCAGTCTACCCACCCTTCATCACTTTTTTCCCTCAAACTCTTTTTTTTCCGAAAATGAAATTCTGCATAGTTTATTTGTTAGAAGGTCTAATTTTTTTAAAAACATACTTTAGTGCCTTCAAGGTCCCCCTTATCCAGGATTAGACCAGGCAAGGCATAGTCATACTGCAACATCACCAGGTATGCACTGCTCACACTGTTAGATGTGTTTTCTCTTTCCAAATGTTGTTTTAACTATCAACCGACTATTTGTAGGGCAGTCCAATTCTTGTCTCTCCCATATACTTTATAATTTGTGGCCTCTGAACGAAATACAACACTTGCTGACTTGTTTGATCCACTCAGGTTATTTCCAAAATATCTTGTCAAACCCCTAGCCAAATGGCTTAATTTTTCTTTCCTCGTATTTCACCATGATTAATAGCTGCTATTTCTAGTGGACAACTTTTACTGGCTCCTACAGATCGAACTCCACAACAAATTTCAATTGATACCCATAAATACAGATCTCCAAAGTCACTCTCATCTCAGAACATATTTGATTTTTCTTTTGACATGACTCTCCTTACCTTTGGTGTGCAGAAAATCCAAGGCAGATGCAATGTCTTTCACAACAATGCTTGCTTCTCTCTCATTAAAGTGCTTTCTTCTCTGGATGTGGGTCAAAATAGAACCTAGAAAGCACAGCAGAGTTTTGTTCTTAAATGTAAAGATTACATGATGGAATTCTTCAAAGAGTAAAACAAAACATGCAGACAGGATGCTGAATTTCATATGCAGCACTATTACAAGCATCAGAAATAAAACTGGATTCGAATATGAAATAGATGTTTGTGCCTGCATTTCCCACAAGGTGAACTGATCTTACATATGCTTGTATTGGATGCCACAAATGCTGGGGGAAAAAAACAAACAACACAAAAAAAAAAAAAAGATTTTTCACTGGCGATATAGTACGCCAAGGATGCTCAATCTTTTTACTCTGAAAACAGCAGTGCCATGACTTAAAATTTTCAGAGGTTTCCCTCCTCCCCTCCAAACCACAAATGTTAGAAACAGAAACACAGGAGGAATAAGCCATTTGGTCCTTTGAGCCTACTTCGCCATTCCTTACGATGCGGCTGATCATCTGACTTAACAGTTTGTTCCCACATTTCCCCCAAATCCTTTTAGACAAAAGTGCTATATTGAACTCCTTGAAATCATGCAATGTTTTGGCCTTGGCAGCTCTCTCTAGTGGCAAATTGCACAGGTTCACCACTCGATTTCAGAATGTGTTTGACAAGGTGCCGCACAGGAGGCTGCTAAATAAGAGAAGAGCCAACAGTGTTAAGGGCAAGGTATGGCATGAAGAGGACTGGCAGAAGGCAGAGACTGGGGGTAAAGGAATCTTTTCTAGGAATGCAGAAGGTGACTGATAGAGTTCTGCAGGGGTCCATGCTGGGACCGCAACTATTCACGTTATACCAGTAACGATCTGGACGAATGAACTGGGCATTGTTGCTAAGTCTGCAGGTGACACAATCTATAGATTGATTATAGATTCCAACAATATCGCCACCACCGATGTCAGACTAACTGGTTTGTAATTCCCTGGTTTCCCTCTGTCACCCTTTTTAAAGATTGTAGTGACGCGAGCAAAATTCCAATCTCTCCACAGATGTTTATTGATTTTCTGATTTAAAGGAAGCAGAACACCAATGCTTCGATTAGAGGTCCCACTGATGATGTTGCCTAGAAGAGTAACAAAATGTCTGCACACCACAGAACAACTGGCTCAGCGAGCTAACAAACAACTGCACCTGTTTATATTTGTCAGCCAGGACTCCTTGATTGGGTCTGTTAACCTGGTCCAGTCAGGGAACTCCTATCTATAGGTCCACCTCGCTGACTTCGTTCCAATCACTATAATGATAACAATTTTTGCAGCAACAAAATCAAGGTAGTTTCCACTGCAGTCCCAAATGAATATTTCAATATTTATGCACTTGCTGACCAGGGAATTAAACAGTTACACAAAGTTTCCTGAACCTTTCTAATTTTAGGAGCAGAAGAAAGATTTTAAAGGCATTGCCACAGCAATAGAAGGAAAGAGCCATAGTGAAAAATAGCGATATATCACATGAGGTCACAGTATAACAAATCAACTGAGGTGAGTGCGCAGGTAAACTTTTAATTTATTCAATTAAATTATAAGAAAAATAGTTATGAAATACGACAGGATCAAGTAAAAAGCATTAAACATAAGCCAGTGTATATACATGGTGTTCAATAAAATAAGTTCGGGGATAAAATTAAATTGAAATAGAAATGGATAGGACCAGTAAAGGGTTCTGAGCTTTTCACTAAATTAAAATCTGAGCGAATGGATAATAAGAGTTAATTAAAAGAATTAAGTTAATTAAAAGAATTAAGTTAATGCCCTGTAAAATATATTGACATGGGTAAAAGTCTTAAGTTTATTTCTTAAGTCTGTTAGTAGTCTAATTAATGCATTTTTTTTTTTTTACTGGGCATCCCAATTAAACTCTCATCTCACTGGATCAAAATCCTGTAACTCCCTTATCTCTCAACATTGTGGGTGAATTTACACCTCATTGACTGTAGCAGATCAAGCTGGCACCTCACTGCCACCTTGAGAGTGAATAGTATGAACAATAAATGCTAGCACAGACAACGGCACCCACATTCTTTGAACAAATAAGTTTTAAAAGGAATGCACATCCTTTTCGATGTTGGAATTCCAGGATATCTCGAGTCTTGAATAACCATATACGCAGAAAGTGTCATCAGTTGAAGGAGTTTTAGCTCTTGGTTTAGGAGTATGGACAGCTGCTGGTTTTATTGTGGAAGCTGTAGTTCACCTTTATAAAAACACTAGTTTGGCCTCACCTGCTACATAGTGTTCAATTTGGGAACCAACATTTTAGGAAGAATGTGAAAACATTGAACAGGATGCTCAAAAGGTTTATGAGGATGGTTCCTGGGATGAGGCTTCAGTTATGTTGGAAAAACTAGGGATTGTTCTTCTTTAGAGAAGTTTGAAAGGAAATTGGACAGAGATATGCAAAACATGAGGAGTCTGCTGAAGCACAGAGGAAAACTTGTTCCCTTTGACGCAAGGGTTGAGAATCAGCAGACAGTAATTTAAAATATTTGGCAAAAGCGACACCTGAAAACACTTTATGTAGTGAGTGGTTCAGATCTGGAATGCGGGATGAGTGATGGTGGGAGAATCCATTCTGGCTTTCAAAAGTGAACCGTATAATTTTCTAAATAGAAAGAAGTTACAGGACTAATAAAAAGTGGGAGAACAGAAGTGGCTGACTTGCTCCTGCAGACAGCCAGAATGAACATATCCAGTAATTCAATCATGTTGTGCTATTCAATAAGAACATGGCTTATCTTCAACCTGATCCCACATAACTGCATTTGCACTATATCCCTTAAAACATTTGATTATTAAGTGACTGAACATGTATTGCTGTTTGCAGAAGAAATTTTGAAACTTCTGTCATCCTGTGCGTACGTTTTCCAAATTCACTCCTGCAATATCTGAATCCAATTCTAAAAATTATTACTCCTAGTTCTTGATGCCTCAACACGAGAATAACTTTTCATCTATCTACCCAATCCATTTTTCTTGGTAACATGATTTCATCTTAGTTATTCTTCTCATGGCCAAGGATAACTTGCTTCCATGCAAAAAAGGAGTCCAATCCATCACTTACAGCCTCTGTCACACGTGCAACAGGCAGTGGTTCGGAGAATGGGAGGGTGGAATAACTGGTTTGCTACACACTCCTTTTTCTGCAGATCCGTGATTTCAGTTTGTTGCAGATGCTGCGGATGTTAGCCTCAGCAAGAACAGTGATGTTAGTGCACCTATCATGCCAGTTGATTTGCTGGATCTAGCAGAGGCCACATTGGTGATACTTCTCTAGAGCTTTGAAGTACTTGCTGTACACAGTCCATGTCTCTGAGCCATATTGGAGGGCATGCATCAGTACTGGTCTGTGGTCTGTGGTCTGTGAACTTGGTGCTGGATTTGAGGTCCTGGTCTTTAATGACAGGGCATGAAATGACCTTGGATCTGGCCTGCAGTCATCAGAGGTTGTACAGTTCCCATTTGTCTGTAGATTAGCTCCATTCCAGCTTGTAGACGAGGTGATCAGGCTTTGCAGCAAGGACTATCAAGAAACTTTGATGAAATTAGCTCATAATCTTTGAAATTCTAGGCATAGTAATTACTTTTTTCTCTAATTACTCTTAATCCTTGGAGATCAGATATCATTCTGGCAAATCTACGCTGCACCCCTCCAAGGCCAATATTTTCTAAAATGTTCTGCCCAGCATTGCTCACAGCAATGGTCTAACCAGGACTTTATATAGCTGAAGTACAACTTCTCCCTAGTCCCATAAAACTAGTCACATCCCACTGTAATCTCTAGTTTAAAAGAAGCCTTAATCCTGCAGGAACCTTACTAGAATTTATCTATTTTTTAAAATATCCTATTTAACTGTTAAAACTATTTAACGGTTTAAACTGCTTAGCCCAAGACCGTTGTTCAAAACATCTGTCTATATATTATCTTATCTGATTACTATGTCCGCCCAGTGTAACTTTGCTTTTCGAAATGATTAATCGTTAAGTGGAGAGAACACAGGTGATGAATCCTCACTGTACTGATGAGTTGGATAGCGGAAATAACAATGGAACTGGGTTTATAGTTTTCAATATAAGGAAATGCTGCCAATGATCTGTTGTTCCTAAACCATTAAAAATAAGGAGAAAATGCAGAACAATACTGGATTTTAACACAGCCACTACTTCTAGCCACAAACTAATTAATTTACAACACAATTCATCACAAGTAAGGAAAGATGCAACAAAGCCATTTGTGGAAGTGGTACCCATCAACTGCTACCAGTTGTCCCAACTGTTCTTTTGAACAATGATTCAATTATTGGGCACTGCATCAAATTTCATTTATATTTTGCCTGTGTTTGATGTCTAGCAATAACTCTGGTAATGACATTAGAAAATACATATTTCTCAATCAAATATTCTAATAGCACAATAGATGGATGATGTACGAGGGACAGATTTGTAACTGCTTATACAAGATATTACTTGTGTATGTAACAAATCATAACACTTACAAAATCTACAAGACAGATTCTTCAGTCCCTTGTTTGATTTGTATATTGTAACAAAACACTACTTAAGCACCACTCTATTTGAGGATTTGGATGATGTTATAAACCATGACAACAAAGCTGAGCAGTTAATCATCTAAAGGCCAAAATTATTCAGAAATTAGTAGCTGATCTCGTTATTGTCCTTAGGCATGGCTTAAATTTTATATGGATAAGTTTATTGCATTTAGTTAACTTCTGAATTAGGAACCTCTTTATACAATCCACATTCTCAATGACCATTGAGCAAACAATTCATAAGTCATACTGTTGTCAGTAAATACTCTCCAATTACTGAGATTCTTAATATAGAAGAAAAGTAATTAAGTGCAACTTTACAGATTCCCAAATACCAAATTACACAAAGACAAATGCACTGAGTCTTTACAAAGTATTTGAAAGTACAGAAACTGACTTTTTGGAGAAACAGGTCCATGCTGTTTTTATGCTCCACATAAGATTGCCACAATTTTCATATAAACCCATTAACATATTCTTCTACCCTTTCTTTCTCGTGTTTATCTAGATATCCTTCAATCCATTTATGTTATTTGCTGCAACTATACCTTATGGTTAATTCTAATCACTCATTGTGTGGTTTCTCCCTAAGTTCTCTAGTGGATTTAAGTTACTATCATACTTATGGTGCTAAATTCTGGTTTTGACCACAAACGCAAATATCTTCTCCACCTCTACTCTATCAAACCCTTTCTTGACCTTGATGACTTCAATCAGGTCACGCCTCAGTCTTCTCCTTTGTAGTTCAAACTTTTCTAATAGGTATAATGTTCTGGGATATTCTCTCAGCTTTGGTATTTTTCTAATAACTTTGTACATTTTAGTAACAAACGCAAATTTTTGATTTTTACAACATGTACGTCACTGGAAGGACAGCATTTGCTGCCTATCCTCAATTCATAGAATTATAGAATCCCTACAGTGCGGAAGCATGCCATTCAGCACACCGATTCCACATGGACCCTCAGGGCATCCCACCCAGACACACTCCCTAACCTATCCTGTCACCCTGCATTTCACATGGCTAATCCACTTAGCGTGTACATCCCTGGACACTATGGGCAATTCATAGCCAATCCACCTAACCTGCACATCTTTGGATTTTGGGAAGAAACCAAAACACCCAACAGAAACTCATGCAAACACGGGGAGAATGTGCAAATTCCACATGGACAGTTGCCCGAGGGTGGAACTGAACCCAGGTCCTTGGTGCTGTTACGCAGCAGTGCTAACCACTGAGCCACCGTACTGGCCAATGTCCTTGAGAAGTTATTGGTAAGTTGTCTTCCCTGACCAGTTGCAGTCTACATGGTGTAGATAAAGTGACAATACTGTTAAGGAGGGAATTCCAGGATTTTGACTAGCAACAGTGATATCGTTCCAAATCAAAATGGTGCAAGGCTTGGTAGCAAATTGCAGCTGATGGTGCTCCTATGCATCTGTTGCCCTTGTTCTTCTAGGTAAGAGAGGTTGTGGGTTTGGAAGGTGCTTTTGAAGGAGACATGGTGAGTTGCTGCAGTGTATCTTGTAGTATGTACCATCTACAAGCAGTGTGTGCCAGTTGCGGAAAGTATGAACGCTTAAGGTGTTGGACCTGGTGCCCACCATGTAGGAAGTTTTGACCTGGATGGTTGAGCTTTTCTCCCGCACCGAGAGTTGAGACTTCCAAACACTTTGTCTCAGGAGTCAGTGTCATTCAATATTCATAAAACAAAAGTAGGGGGTAGGTGAGAATGTGGAATCTGAAACAAACAAATTAGCTGTGATCTTACCAATGGTGAAGCAGACCGGAGGGGCTGAATAGCCTTCTGCTATTCCTGTTTCTTATGTTCATGCGAATTTATTGAATGACACTGCTGCTGTACTCATCCAAGCAATTGAACAGTATTCCATCACATTCCTAATTTTTGCCTTATAGATGGTGGAGTGGTTTGGGGGAGTTAGGAGGCAAGTTACTCAGCACAGAATTCCCAGATTTCTTTGTAGCCACAGTATTTAGATGGCTGGTCAATTTGGGGTCAGAAGTAACTATTTGCATAGCCCATAACAGCAAGGTCCTATGAATACTTAAGGAAGTACTACCTTTAAGTGGCACTCAACATTGAAGTGCACTGATTCATTAGCAGAGGGACAGCAATAAAGTTACCAGGAGGTTTAGCTGCCCCTATTTGACCCAATGTCATGGGACTTCATAGGGTCCAGAATCAATATTATGAAATCTTATAGCCATGTCCTACCAACTGTATAACACTGCATCACCACCTCTTGCACTGGGACATACCCAAGGATGGTTATGGCAGGATCTGGGATTCTATTATGATTTTATTGCTATGACAAAATCAGATTGTTGCTTAAATATCTGTGGGGCATTTCTCTCAATTCTGGTAAAAGTCCCCAAATGTTACTGATGTGAAGTGGTTTGCAGGATTAGCCAGGCTCGATATCCCTTAGTGGTGTTTGATCTCCAGGATGACGCTGGCTGGTCCATTAGGATTTAAATGTCTTTAATCAATCCGTTCAGAGGTGTCATGGCACACCTCGGGAACAGGTGAGACTTGAACCCTGGCCTTCTGGCCTGGATGTAGGGATACTCCCACTGCACCCCAAGAGCCCTCCATCAGGTTTTATACTACTTGTTTTTTTGTAGTGGTTTGAAACTACGAAACTGGTTGGCTCTTTGAGGGTAGTTAAAAGTCAAAGTCAACAATTGCTTGGATAGCTTCACGAGTACCATTACTGAGACTAATCTTCATTAATTATTTTTCATTTACTGAACTTAAATTCCTCAGCTTCAATTGTGACTTGCACACTTTGGATTATTTAATCTTTACCTGTATGTAGTGACATAACAACAACCTCTATATTAACATATCTTGTGTACAAAAATTAAGTGAAATAGAAAAATGGTTAATCCAGATCTGATTTCGACCAAAGCATGCCGCAGGATAGAGAGATAACAGGTGCCTGATTTTAAAACAAAACCTTTAGAACTGAGTTCAGTCATTAGATCTCCAAACAAAATGATAAATACTGCTCCTGGTGTTTTGGATAAGCTAGTGGAATCAAACCTCTAAAACCATAAACAAAACGAAGAAATGGACAGGGGTTAACAGACTATGCTTTTTATGGATGAGCTGGAGGACTCGAATGATTTTTCTTCAATTCTACTTAACATGTATTTAGTCCTTCTCTTCTGTTTGCCCATACCACTAACACAATTAGCAATTAAGATACAAGCAACTACTACACTTCCAACATCATTGCACCAAAACTTAATCTTGAGTGGGTGGATCAGCAGACTGACCTAAGGAAACGGTAAGCAGGACAGATTGATGGATGCATCTAAAACCTGCACGATAGCATTAAACTAAATAATTGTGTGTGAAGAATTTTGCAAAATTCTGTGTCTGTCATGCAGAAAAATCTTTTTATATAAAAATTTAATGAACAGTACTAAGACGAAACACAAGGTCCTTGTTAGTCTGAGCATCAAGAAAGCACAACATTTTGCAGCAACTATTTGCTGCAGAAATAATAAATATGACCTACCTCCACGCATTTTTTCAAACACCAGATAGAAGTGCGCTTCATCCTCAAAAAATTCAATCAGTTCTAAAATGTTCCTATAAAAAGGCAAAAATAAATTCAAATCCCAGGAGACCTTAGTGAAGACGACAAAACCAGGAAAAAAATGCTTCTTGTTCCAATTGAATAACAAGCGAATGAAAACATTTTATCATATATTGATTTCCTTTCTTCACACAGACATATTTCTCCAGTGAATTTCTATAGTTATATTTTCAAATATCACCGACGCTTTCCACACATTTCAATTTGCTGAAGCCGGAATAAGAGGCTCTGACATAGACGAATGAGTAAAAGCTGCTGCTTGACAATCTTATTTGCTATCAATTACTGACTATTACAAATCTCTCATCAAGAATTCACTATTATAAAAATTACAATGCAAGTTTACATAACATTGGTCGTGCTGGGCTTGGGTTAAAGTCACAAACTGCAGTCATGTTCTAACATTTAACCCAGTTACTGTTCAAACATTAGGATAATTGCAGTCCGACGAGCCAACTGCCAATTTGATGTCAACATTCACTGTTCTGCAAGGTCCTGTTCACAAACAAAACCATGCAAGATCATTCCTCTCCTCCATGCCATGGAACACCTGCTTAGGTCTTGTTACTGCTGTTATAAATAATATGAATGTGGTCACACACTATTAATAGGAATTAATATGATCTACGTGATCATTTAGGTTTAGTTTTATAGAAACCTTTGAATGTTATAAATTCTAACTTTCAGAATGTTGATGTGCTCTCTTATAACATTTCAGTATTAAGTGAGGTGTATTGGAAGATGATTATATATTCCTTGCAATGTAAAGGGCAGGAGGAATAACATGTTGAGTAACACAATCAAATATTGAAACTGTCATCAAGCAACTGCCAAGACAAGAAGTGTCACTGGAAATAGAACATCACAACAAAGTTGCAGGATCGAGTGTTGCTGTGATCCTGTTAAGGATGTTAACACGTAAAGAAGAAATCTGAACACGCAGCAGACAGAACTCCACCACAAATTTCGCTTTGCCTTAAAAACAAACAGGTGTTATTGTATATCTAAATTAAATAAAACAATGACAAAGTTAAAAGTAAATCTTATAAACAATACAGTTACACACTGACTTCTTATTTCTCCCCCATCCTTCCCCCACCACTCAAACCTCCCTTATACATTACACAAACCCTGAAGGTTCATTCACTTCTTCCCTGGGACAAAACCAAAACATATACCATAGCTCTCCACAATATGATTCACTTCTCCTCAGTTTTAGTTATTTTCCAAGGTGGACAATTTCATGCTGGTCCTTCCATTAGTGTTTGTTAAGAGACCATCCAACATTCCTTCACCAATCCAATGACAAGGGAGCTTAAGTACAGGTACAGGCCTCTTTGCGACTTCTGTGCAGTGGCTTAAAATATCTACTTCTAAAACAAAGTTAATTGTCTTTCATTGAAAGGATTGATGTGGATATCTGAGGAACGTAGGAACAGGAGTAGGCTGTTCAGCCCCTTGAGCCTGTTGCACCATTCAATGGGATCGCAGCTGATCTATGCCCTAACCCCACGTACTTGGGCACATATCTCTTAATACGTTGCTTAACAAAACTTTATCTCAGATTTAAAATTAATAACTGATCCTGCCTCCACTGCCATTTATGGAACAACGTTCCAAACATCAACCACCCTTTGTGTTTAGAAGTGCTTTCTAACATCTCTCCTGCACAGTCTGGCCCTAATTCTCAGACTATAGTCCCTAGTTATAGAATATTCAACCAGTGGAAATAGTTAATTGTTATCTACCTTGTCTCGCTCGGTTAATATCCTGAAAACTTCGAATAAATCATGCCTTAACCTTTTAAATTCTAATTTATCTAATTTCTCCTCATAATTTAACCTCTGAAACCCAGGTATCAGTCTTGTAAATCTTTTAGTACTTCCGCCAAGACCAATATATCCTTACCAAGGTGTGGTGCCCAGATCTGCTCTCAGTACTCCAAGTTGGGGTCTAACCAGGGTTAT